TCTGAAACGAGTGAAATTCGATTCCATTAAATTCGGTGAACTGAATAGTGAAGTGGATGGCTACTAATGCAGAGTCTGCATTGCGGCCTATCAAGAGGCATACTCCGTGGAGGCCATTAATGCATTCAGTCAAATCTGATCTGAATCCAATCATCAAATTGAGCCAACTAGGTGGAATCAATTCTAATGATTAGGTTTTTATATGATTATTAGATGGGCTTACTTTGAACTCACACTCTTCATGGGTCTTACAAGAATATATCCTGTATGGAGGTACCTCGACTTTCTTGGATATTGACGAACACCACAGACGAACATCGAATAGCAGGTGAAGCTCATCTCGAAGGCGTCTGGTCCACACATCGCTCGTCATATCATGTTGATTCAGCGTTAGAATCCGCTGGGGTAATCCAAATTCGATTCTCTTAGACATTTACTGAACAATGATGAATGTTCCTAGCTTCGGAGTGAAAAGACCGGCCCTGTAAACGTGATTAGCTAGAATTAATAAATCGACTTCTGCCAAGTTCGTGGAAACCGCCTATGGTTAATGGCTCCTTGACTATCCACCAATTCTCTTCGTTGATTATTCTCGCGGGCGAGCGAGATTGTTCCTTGACTATTCCCTGACATCCTTGAGTATTTGCAGTCACCCAGACTGTTGCCGTGGCGTGCGTGCCGCAGTCACAGGAGTCAGTCCACCGGTGCCCGCTCGTGGAGTAGTCGTCCGCGACCTGTACTGCCTTCATTCATTACAACTTAAGAAACGTCGTCTTACCTTGAACTTGACCTTGGACGTCTGAGTGTCTCCTGGAGGCATTCATACCTCCTTATAGAATCGGTATCCCTTCTTTCTTCTTCCTGTTGGTACTGCTGATGGCGCGTGTGATGGTCTAGCTCGGTACACTCGGACATTCGGAGTTTTCTGATAAAACTGTGGTGAACAATGAGGAAGAGAAGGAGGAGGACTGACTCTTCATTGATGAGGGGTTACTACACACTATTGCGCTCCCTGGGGTGGGGCGGCTATGCCACAGGTCCGAGATATGTCTAAGTATAATAATTTTCGCCGCTAATGTGACCGGTTCTGGTCAAGGGGCCGATATGCTATCTATTGACTATAGAGAAGGTTCCTTTTGGCAAGTTAAATTGAGGTAAAGAGATGACATAGCAGCAGCTCAAAAATCATGTCACCACCGGGAATACTCAACATTGGGAAACATGAAACCGGCGAGTATTTCCGAGTGGTTCTCGAGCTCCTCAGCAGCAGCTGGTGTCTGCTGCCATAGTGGCCAGAGCTCGAATGACTCACTTGAACTCGGAGATCTAACCCGAAATACGATGCCTGAATGCACCAAGTCTGCGACCCGTACGATTATTCCGGTTTCAGTCGCGACTTTGGTCATCCGTGGCTGAACAATCATGTTCGCACCTTCGGGTTATTATGGTGACGTCAATGACGCAAGAATCTCTTTGACTCGCCTATCGTGCCTGACTGTGAGTTGGCTTAGGTAGGCGGGCCAAGTGATTGATCCCGGGTGGGAGGGCTGGGTTTTGAAAAGAGAAGCCCAAGGGCTAAGGCCCTTTTGAGAATGGGGCTACGGCCCACATTCTGAACCGCTTCTGCGGTTCAAGCGCGGCTGTGAGGCCGCGCTGAGCATAATGAATGCTCGCCCCGTTACACGGAGGAGTGGTTCCATCTGAAACGACTCCATTAGCTATGTGTTTGCGTGCTTTTGCGAATATCGCGCGCGCCCGGTTTGTGCTGATTTTTGACCGTCCAATCGTGCCCCCCTTCCTCAGTTCTTCGAGCTGTCGTAGGGGGCCTCCGATTGAACTTGCACAAAAATCATGTCACCACCGGGAATACTCAACATTGGGAAACATGAAACCGGCGAGTATTTCCGAGTGGTTCTCGAGCTCCTCAGCAGCAGCTGGTGTCTGCTGCCATAGTGGCCAGAGCTCGAATGACTCACTTGAACTCGGAGATCTAACCCGAAATACGATGCCTGAATGCACCAAGTCTGCGACCCGTACGATTATTCCGGTTTCAGTCGCGACTTTGGTCATCCGTGGCTGAACAATCATGTTCGCACCTTCGGGTTATTATGGTGGCGTCAATGACGCAAGAATCTCTTTGACTCGCCTATCGTGCCTGACTGTGAGTTGGCTTAGGTAGGCGGGCCAAGTGATTGATCCCCTATGTAAGTCATTGGCGCCATCAGAGCCGGTCACCGTTCCCCTTTTTCGTCGCCGATTGATTTCACATGCGTTTTTTTTTGTTTAGGTCTCCCATCTCGAACGCAACAATAATCCTTTCCTTGAAATCTATTTATCGCTAATCCTCCTCGTCGGATGACTCGTCTACCGTGATCTTCGCGGCCGCTCGAGCCTCTACTTCTGGAAGGTTGATGTAGACTTTGAAAGCTGCTGATCGCCAGCCTCCCATTTGCAGTAGGGTCGCGGGGCTGATGTCCTGCTCCGCTAGGTCGGTCGCGTGACCTCTCCTGAAGGAGTGAAGTCCGTACATCTCTACGTCGCTTACTCCGATGTCTCGGAGCATGGCCCTTAGGGTATCTTTGAGCTTCTTTGCGGGAATCTCGATCATCCGTGGCGATGGACCGTTGGGGCTGCTGCTACTCCCTATAAGACGTTGAGCGTGAACGTGAGGACAAAGTTCCGGCTCTACCCTTTCGCAGACGCAGTACCGAATCAGTGTCACTGGCCACTTGGAGTTCTTTCGCCGTGGCAAGCTTAGGACGGTCGCGTTATTGGCGTCCAATGAGAGCTGCTCTTTCCGGCATGTCAGCAACTCGGATGGCACCCTCAGAAGAAACCAGTACGACAGTACAAAAGCTGCGCGCATGACCATCGCGGGATAGGACTGCGAGGCCACAGTTACCCCTATGTTCAACTGGGGCTCCGAAGGAGGATCCCTAAGATGGATTAAGGAGCGAAGCATGCCGAGACCGATCGGCTTCATCCTCCGTAGACCTCCTGGATGTAGGTTGGCGTGACCTTGGAGCGCCGTGGACAGCATAGGGTGGGCAAGATCACCCGCTTCCCATCCTAGGACTCGGCACCATTTGCGCAGTGCTGAGACGTAATTTGCAGCTGTACTGGCGTTACGGAAAGTCGAGATCCAAGTGGTGAGTATAGTCACCTCTGTAGGGAAGTATGGTACCGTGGATCCCAGAATGATCGACATGCTGTCGACGAAGGTCATGTAACTGCGTAGACTTGACAGATATTGTCGAAGGGTTCGGGTATTCACGGATGCCAACCTGGAGTAATGAGAGTTAAGGGCCAGAATGCCGGCTACGGGGAGTCCGTGTTGTAGAGCTGTCAGTAGCCTACTGACAGTAGGATCCCTGGGACGTGTGACGGGCTGGCACTCATACCTATCGTGAGGTGGAGAGGTGAGGCCGGTAGGGACCGGAGGTGCAGCGCCCCCTGGGCTTGGTTGATCAGTCGTCTGTGAGGGTCGTCTTGAGGTGTAGCCTTGGATCTCACGGCTGGCTGAAAACGGGCCATTGAAAGTATCGAGCAACTGACTGAAGTGGCCAGGCGACGCCCTTTTTCCCCCCTTTTTTTTGTACTTTCGGCTAACTCAACACGGATTGCGCTTCCCGAAACGTGTATACTGAAACAGCATCACCCATAAATCAAATTATTGGTGTAGAGGGCCACCTTGCTGGCCATCTCGAAAAGTTGGCGACATGTTCGTAACTTCGACGAGAGGGTCCGTCGGCTAGATTCTGTTTGCTGGGAACGCGAGTGACCCAGATTGAGATGTTATGTCGCGTGGCTATACGCCAGAAGCTGGAGACCATACGGTTTAGATCCTCTTGACGGGAGCTGCCCTTGACCAGGGCGTACTCTACCGGCTCGCTGTCGACGTAAATGACGCAAGACTTGTTCTGGAGAACGTTACAGAAGGTTTGTAGTGTCGTCACAGCCGCGAGAAGCTCCAATGGCACAATTTGTGTCTTGCGGGCCTGCCAGGACTCTAGAATCGCCTGCGGAGCGGTCTCGGAAAAGAATTTATCCTTGTCGGAGCTGCCATGAGGATTGCAGAGGACACCTCCCAGACGGTTCTGGGCCCCTTCTGCGTCGGAGTAGAGAACGAACGGCTTGACTTCGTTTGGTTCGACTCTCACGGTGCGGCTTGGTGGAGCGTCCCTCACAAGGGACAGGAGGTTTGATATGGCATTGTTGACTTGAAGAGATGCATACCTCGGTCCCTGGAATATCCAGGAGTAAAGGCTCCTTGTGTAGGACCGCCAGGAATGGTCTGCCGAGGTAGCAGCGGCAAATGTGAGTCGGCCACAGAGTTTCTTCAGGTCCCCGGTACTCGCCCAACCCGTCCGGTGAATTTCCTCCAGCGAAGTCATGAGCTTCAAGCGCTTGTCCTCGGGCAGAGCGAAACGGACCGATCTGTCTTCGAAAGAGATCTTGAGACCTAGAAGGGTCGTCGACGTGGCTGGAGCCTGCCGTTTTGACTCTTTCTCCCTGAACCCAATGAGTTCGTTGAGCAGTGTCAAGCTCTCAAAACTTGAATGTGCCGTCGATTCGGGCTCGATCCCCCAGTAATCATCAATGAACGACATGCTGATACCACCGAATAGAATTCTGTGGAGGTGCGTCAAACACTGCGAAATTCTGCAGTAGCTCCATACGCTGCTGCTCGCTCCAAAGGAGAGAGCCCTATGCCGGAAGATAGCTGGTCTGCCATCTGGGCCGGTGACGCAGATGAGTTGGAACCGTGAGTGCTCGGGATTTGTGGGGACTTGTCGATAGGCGCTCTCATGGTCGCTCTTGAATATCGTTATCGGATCCTCCTCGTTCAAGGACGCGACCAACCTCCAGACGGCTAGAATGGTCTCGTGGGTCGGTAGAGTTATGGACTGAGAATATTCGGTAGACCGATTCGTTCCGCTCCTGCGGTAGTCATCGCAGAACCTGGTCTTATCCACCTGTTCGACTGCGAACCTGGACGCTAGGACGTGCTTGCCGTAGCGCTCAAGTGCTTCTGAGGTCGACAGAGGGCCCTCCATTAGACCTTGCCTGACCTCCGCGAGGCAGGAATCCCATATTTGTGAGTTGAAGGTTTGCTCACTGACGAGTTTGAGGAATTCCTCTCTCCGGTCCATGGCAGATCTGAGGAGTTCTTTCGGGTCAACGAAGGGGTTCGGTTTCTTAGTGAACTCGCCTGGTGGGCGCTGACCGAAGACTCCTTTAATGTGGGGTAGTCGTCCTACTACCGGCATACCCTTCTGCAAGTCGTTGGGTAGCTCTACATCAGGGTAGTCTGTCAGAAGTATCAGCTCTCTAAGCAAGGGGAGATTCAGCTGTCCGCTGATTGCGCGAACATCCTCTTTCATCTTCGACCTCATCTCGTCTGCTTCAGGGAGGAGCTGCTGTGCTCGCAATCTCAGGAAGTGCATTATTCTCCTCCGAGACTCATTGATCTCTTTGGGTTCTGAGTCCTTGTGAGCACGGAACGCGGCGAGAAGGGAGTGTGGTAGTGTTGGTTCGGTCTGGAGCGGACTTGATCTCTGGCGGGCCCACACTAGATGTTCCAGTGCGCCTCCTGTGAGGTTATAGGCTCTCATCTTAGCCGCATCTATCTTGGAACTGGTGTAGAAGAGACGTGGTTCATGGGTGGAACTTTCTTCGTCGAGGATGGAGCGGAAGCTTTGTAGAGCGATCGGGCGTGAGCTCGACTTGCGCATCCTCTTCCTCCTTCTGGCGTCTGTGGTCGTTTTGCGGCGCTTCTGAGTGGACGGCGACATATGCTAAAGATGGGAATGAGCGAAACAACTAGCGACCAACACTAGGCAGTATGGAAAGCTAGCGTCACTGTCCTAACTCACTCTTCCAACGGCCCTTCCTCCTCGTTGTTGCCTCACCAATGAGGGTTCGCAATTTGCTCTCGGTACTGCTTCGCCTCGTTGCTAACAGTGACGAGGCGAGGATGCCGTGCTCCGCCAGTTTATTAACACTGAGCAACTCAATCTCTTTTGTGATTATAACGAGGCAAATTGGGATCCTATCCCAAGAAAAGGGTGATCTAGACGATCGTACTTCCTCGTGCGACTGATGACTGATAAGGAGGTGAGAGGAGCGGTACGTGATAGTATCATAGTGATACGCCGCAAAAATGAAATAAGTCACGCGTCATCCAAGCGATGGTGAGATGATAGTGAGATGATGCAGACTCTCAAAGATGTCATCACTGCTGACTCAGGAGGGGGGAGGGAGCACCGAGGTTGCCCACGCTTAGGCCTTCTTCTTGTTGACGTTGTCGTTGGTGTTGTTCCCCGTCGAGCCTTCAGACTTGCTTTTGTCCCAAGGCCTTCCCCGTGGTCTCTTGTTGCTGCTGTCATTGTAGTTGTTGTTGGTTAAGTTGTTGTAGTTGGACCAGTTGCGCCAGGACTTGTTCTTCCTTTCTCTGGCAGCCACCGCCTCGTTGGCAGCTCTGAGAGAGACGTTCTGGTCCATCACACTGAGATCCTGAAGAACAGATCTGATGGGAACGCCTCGGCGAATAGCTTCGGTTGCTTTCTTCACCGAGTAGCGATGATAGAGCTGGGCGGCGACAGTGCCGCCAGGTTTGCCAGTGTGGGATAGAGTTCCTGTGCTGGCAAGGATCGACTCCAGATGTCCGAGTAAGTACCCCAAAGGTATGGACTCAATGTCAGCGGAGAATGT